ATCTGAGACTTTCTTCATGAACGGAAGTCGTGATTAAACGGCATATCATCATGTGTACCCGCGACAAGTTGGGTACCGCAGGGCAATATGTTGGGACCCTCTTATTTCTTTACTTTATATTGTGATATGTTAGAAGCTATACACTCCACTATACAAATTATGCGGATGATGCCAAATTATTCAGGGATATTAAGAACCAAACAATGTGAAGAGTTGCAAGATTTGTCGACTTCAGGAATGGTCAGAGGAATAGCTGATAAGATTCAATGCCACGATATACAAAAGGACGCACTTAGGTCGTACCAACAGTTGACAACGAACTGAAGTTCTCGGATCATTGTAAAAAGAAGATAAATCAAGCAAATGAACGAAGGACGTAAAGTTCTTCAAAAATAAGGTGCTTCCCCATCTGATGTACTGTCACCCCGTCTGGTCCTCGAGATATGCTAGGGACTGTCAATTGGTTGAAAATGTCCAAAGGAGGGCCACCAGACTGATGCCTGCACTATGGCATCTCAGGTACCCAGAGGTGTCTCGCTTATACTATAGGCAGGAAGGAGGTGACTTAATAGAAATTTATAGGCACCTCTGAGTTCAAAAAATTATCAGTTATTTTTGTTTTATTAATGTCCAGTTCAGTTTAAACATTATTCTATCGCTGACACATGAATAACGGGTTCCTTCTTTTCACAGATCAATCGCACTTTCAGCTGACATAATAAAAACTGGAAACATGATTATTTTTCTTGTAAAGTTATTGAAAATTGAATTGTTATTCCCAGGGCAAATTAGCTTTAATGTAAAAAGTGAACTTCGTGTGAGCAACAATCCGCATATAACTTTTCAGTGATTCACAAATGCAACAAATAATCCTTTCTTAAGAATACATTGTACTTAATCATGAACGTAGACCCTATATTGTTTATACATTCAGTGTTGGAGCTGTAATGGTCGTTACATGGGTAGTACAGTATATACCTGACGTTTATTAAAAGCATCTTGTATTACTCGTATAATGAATAGGTCAACACTATACCTCTTCACGCACCGTCTATATCATCATTTATATAATGATGACTGATACAATGCAGAGAATCTAGAGACTTTCTGGTTCAATACTGTATATAGATATTTGTAGTAACACGAGGGAACCCACTTGAAATAATTTGTCCCGGGCCCATGGTGATGATTCTTCTCTAGGTGTGAATCCATAAAAACACTTGAGACGCTAATACTCTATATTTCCACCCTGTTACCTACATCAGTATGGATCATGATGCTCAGCGTCTATGATGTGTCTTGTGTTAAATATTCATCCTTACAAAAAACAATCTCGTAACTGTAAACTTACTTTAATAGATAAATATCTCTCATAAAAACAGATTAACTTACAACAGGTTTATGTGGGAATCTGTTGATGATGTGTATATGTATATCAGTACATATGGATTATTATTTCCGTGCCTCAATAACTATGGTCTTTAAGCACGTACTCCGCGTCAACAACACCCATATACGGAAACACGTCTTACCTCCTTCCCTCACCTCGGGCAGGGCAGGAACAGCGAGGCAGACCACCACCAGTCACCCTGCAGCAGCCATAGGAGAAATTATGACACCTGCAGCAGCCATAGGAGGAATTATGACACCTGCAGCAGCCATAGGAGAAATTATGACACCTGCAGCACCCGCGAGAATATAGATTTTTCTCAACGTAATAACCCCACAAGGAGGATGGAAAGGTGATGGTCGTGTCTCAAGATATAAATGCCTGAAGGAAGCTCACTACTCGGTATTACTTAAGACCAAAAAACACAGGAGAGGGTGTGGGGTCAGGGAGGGTGTGGGGTCAGGGAGGGTGTGGGGCCAGGGAGGGTGTGTCAGGGGTAGTGGCACACCTGAGGGATGATAAACCTGTTGTGTGGTGGTCCTGTGCCCGCTCCTTACTGGCACGACCTTGGTCACCCCCCCCCCCTCCCTCCCCTTCACGCCCACGCCCTTCCACAGCTCAACACAACCTAGGGTGCTCTTCTCTAATGTCCCACGCCCGAGATATTGTAATGTTCTCATACAGCGAATGATGAGAGGGGGTACCGGGTTATTTTAATGTTCAATATATTAGTTAGATGATTGAAACAGGTAGTATGTACAGGTAATAAAGCCTCTTCAGTGTATGGATGCGCCACACCCTAGACCTTGTTGTTGCTGGCGTATAGTGATGTAAGCGCCACCCCTGTCCGCCATATTTAAACCAGTGTCCATAATAGACGAGTTGACGGTACTGGGTAAAACACGAAATACACTCTGGCACGTCCGTAGAGTGGTGCAGTATGTATAATTTGTAATAAAAGTTTAAAGACCTGCTATAATAGTCGAGGTAAATTTATTTATCTAGAAACAGGGCCGCCTTTTCCAATGAGGTCACTACCTTCAAACTCATCGCTGAAGTCGGAGGTAGTAGAAAGGATGGCCCCTTCAAACCCCAAATGCCACGTTCAGTCAAGTCGTATGGGTGTTTTTTATGGTCTAAGTCTTGGACATTTCGTAAGTGAAGACATGTACCGTGAAGAACAGCTTCAAACATAGGTTAGATGGGTAGATGAGCAATAGGGGTTGGGTGTCAAATGGGACTGCCCAGTATGGACCAATAGGCCAGCTGCAGTTTCCTCCATTTTTATGTTCTTTTGGACATAAAAAATCCCCTGTTCACACCAGCTCAACTGTCATGTATTCTTACCGGGTAGACTTTCTCTCTTTATTTTCCAGGGCATTTACAGAGTATATCAGTACTAGATGGAGATACCAGTCAATTTAGAAGTAATGACATTATCTGGACTTTGTTTTAAGAATACCTAATGCTGGGTGAACATGACAACATAGTGCTGTTATTGTTTTGGTGATTCACTAATGAACCATTGGGATATATCATCATTTGTATTAATTAATGGGTCAAATTTTACTTTAACTTCCATAAGTATTTGGATGTTTATATTCGAGAAAGGCTATAATGGGTAAATTTAAGTTTTGGTCATCACTGTACTGTACTTAGACATGCAGACTGTGTTTTTTCTCTGATGGTTTGCGATGTGTTATGGACGACTTAGACCTTCATTTATATCGGAAATAACTAGTTTTGAGTTACTACCTTACCGATGTATGTTAAGCTAACCTCATAACTCATCATAACCTAACCTAACCTAACATATGATCTGTATTTTGTTATGCGATCGAAAAATGTTTTGCGACAGAAATCCTGTAGAGAAAATGTGTCTTATTTTTTAAAGCACTTAATCCTATAGTTAGAATCTTAAGGTTCCCCAGATGACCAAAACCAAAATAATACCAATATTACTTGGAATGTTTATACTGTGAAATTTGTTGTAGGGGCAGCTAATACCCATTGAATTAGTTAAGGTGCTTAGTAATATTTATATATTCAAAATAGTATTACTGTGCTGGGAAGCTCGCTCCAGTCAGTAACGTCACAACCAATCACAAAGCTTTTCACAGTCATGTGACTTTTTAGAAACTTTAACCCTTATTTTTTACACTTTTTGTCCCAATTCACTTAAAAATATCATTACCATAGTGAATTTAATCGTTTTCTTTACCCAATGACCTGCCACCTTACGAAAAAATTCCGACCGTCAACTCGTTCATTCCGTCAAGTATTTTGTTCCCGTTCTGATAAATCCATCTCATTTGATTCACCATACTGTTACGGCAACTATAACTGTATTAAGGAGGATAAATATAATATAAACTTACAGGAAAAAAGTTACAGACACATTAACATATTGCAGTAAAATTAAATGTCAAGGAAGTGTAGTTAGGTTGCGGACTTTTTCAACCAAGTGACAGTATATATATAACTACAGGTACATTTACGATGCTGTTATAGTATATTAGGCAATTATTGATGAAACTTGGATGGGTCACACACACACACTAACACTACGGCTGTGAAACTTTCTCCACACATATATAGAGGAACGTTCATAAATTTTCTAACCTACTTTAAACCATAACCTCAAAAACCAATACAGATTTAACACGCTGGTTTAATCACACTTGACAAACCACACATAAGGTTTAATTTATTGTCTTAGTAACTTTTCACATGTTGATCGGTGTTCTGTATATAATAATTTTGAGGTTTAAGTTTTACGAGGGTTTAAGTCATCGTAGTCAAGGGTTTAAGTCATCGTAGTCAAGGGTTTAAGTCATCGTAGTCAAGGGTTTAAGTCATCATAGTCAAAGGGTTTAAGTCATCGTAGTCAAGGGTTTAAGGAGTTTAAGTCATCGTGAGTCAAGGGGTTTAAGTCATCGTAGTCGGGGTTTAAGTCATCGTAGTCAAGGGTTTAAGTCATCGTAGTCAAGGGTTTAAGTCATCGTAGTCAAGGGTTTAAGTCATCATAGTCAAAGGGTTTAAGTCATCGTAGTCAAGGGTTTAAGTCATCGTAGTCAAGGGGTTATGTCATCATAGTCAAGGGTTTAAGTCATCGTAGTCAAGGGTTAAGTCATCGTAGTCAAGGGTTTAAGTCATTGTAGTCAAGGGGTTTAAGTCATCGTAGTCAAGGCATTAACCACAACCTTGAAAGCAAATATTAATAAGGCTTTCTCAAACACCAACAGCACTCTACAACTCCAATCTACAACCTACAACCACAAATTAAAACACCATTATCAATAAACCAACCATAACCCTTAAAATTACTGTAGTACAACCCGTATCCCTATAATTAAAAAAAAATAATAAATTACAACCAGAACAATTACAACATTTTTAAATCACAGAAATAACCTCAATGATTCACAACCGAGACGATCAATAACCCTGCATAAAATAACAACCAGACAGTCAGTTGAATCTGGTAATTTCTTCAGCAGCTATTGATTCAGTACATAACCCTTCCACAGTCCACACAACTACAACCATCCACCATAAACCACAATACTTACAACCACAACCAACAGCAGAGAATATCCAGGTTACTCACCCTTGAGCTGCGGCACCGCCCACAAGCGCGCCCACAGTGAGCACCGTCACTGTCGCCCACGCCCACATCCTGACTATCTGGTGGGGGAGAGAAAGGGAGAATTTGGTGAGAATCTCGTAGGCATCATCCGGGTCTTAGCCAACGAGACAGAAATAAGTGATTAAAACAGCATCAATCAATTTAATAAATAAAATATATACTTGTTTAAATAATTTAGCCCTGGGAAGGAATGTTATGATGGTTTGTAAGAGCGCATGTTAACATTGTATTTTAGTGTTATCAAGCCCCCCATTATTTGAAGTAAAACATCGTAACTTTAATGTGTTGAAGGCAGGAGCTACACCTGACATCAACAATTACAAGATCTGCCGTTATCATCTCTAGGTCGCTCTCTGCCATTATATAATTATGTTTAGTGTATTAACAATGATAGTTCCTGCCTTCAACACATTAAAGTTACGATGTTTTACTTCAAATAATGGGCTTGATAACACTAAAATACAATGTTAACATGCGCTCTTACAAACCATCATAACATTCCTTCCCAGGGCTAAATTATATTAAACAAGTATATATTTTATTTATTAAATTGATTGATGCAGTTTTAATCACTTATTACTGTTACTACGCTTCAACAATTACTCGCACGTATTCTTTTGCAGCTTATACTAAACACGTATTTACAGTTTACAATAACAAGATTAACAATTCAATCAAGAACAGGTTATAAATCTTCCATATCAAGAGTTAATCCACAGGGTATCATTATTTCGTGATGGTGAAATGTCAAGTTTGGCCATGAGACTTTCTTATCCACAGTGTACTAGGAGTTTCAATCTGGGTCAGTTACTCACTTGTACTCCGAGGACACAGTCACGTATAACCTCCTCTAGTGCATCAAATAATAACATTAAACAATATCAGGGAAAATCAATTCAGTTTTACCAATTACGACTCGTTAATGGCGGTCTATTACGTATTCTGCCTAACGTAAATATACAGTATACTCTTCACTAACACACAAAACGACTCGCTATTCTACTATAATCTAGTACAATATTTCTAATTGATTAATAGTTTTACCTGATGATCCGCCCCCAGCTTATTCCACCTGGAGACTAATTACCCTAATGCTAACTGGGGGAGGGGTTAGGTGAGGTTAAGTTAGGATGAATTGAGATTAGGTTTAGTTAGATTAGTTAAGGTGAGGTTAGGTTAAATGAGTTGAGGTTAGCTTAAGTGAGGTGAGGTGGTTAAATTACCGATGGTGTGGTTAAGCTTCAGATAAAATAAGCTTCGAGTCGAATCTACAGGTTAACCGATTCATTTACCGATTCCACTTGTTGACCCGATAACAACTCCCCCGTGTTATGTTCATTAAGGTTAAAAAATATAAGAAGCACAAGATGAACGTGTATAAGCAGCCGCCGCGGGGAACAAGAGCGAGTAACAGCTTTTAAAAATAGTTGTGTTATCAAACTAAGCAAGTCTGTTGAATAATAATTTACTGTGTGTGTGTGTGTGTGTGTGTGTGCGTGTGTGTGCGTGTGTACGAAATAGCCACCAGAGATGAAAGTTACCAAAGCACAACTCAGTACAGTACATGAGACGCCTGGCTTTATTAGCTGGGATGCACGAGGGGGCTTTCTTATCATGTGAACGTGGCTTGTATATAAGTGGCTTTATTTACTAGTACTATATTATATACAGTACAGCATATCCTATATTCTTAAAGTACACCACTCAACAGAATGTCAGTACCAGCTGCGTTTTAATAACCTCCACTGGGGTCTTTTAAACGCATATACAGTACAGTAGTGTTCAGTATATCATCAGCTGACTACAAATTTGTAAATAAAAACTTGAGAAACATCTTCCCTTTCCTCAAGATACATACACATAAACAGTCAGAGATACCCCCGTCTTTTCCCCTGTAAATTGTCTCTTTGTGTTGTGAAATGCGATTGCGAATGTTTATTTTATCGCGAGGGATTTTTCCAGTGTAATTTAAACGTAGTAGGTTAAATGCTTATTAATCCTTATGTTAAAACGTAACAAATAAGTACAGTAATATATGTCGTCAATTTTCCCACTAATTTAGAAAATAAATATCCATTATTTCGACTAAAAGTTATTTGGGTGGGACATTGGCACACTTCATCCACCCACGCATTTCACCTTATCAAGTGACGTGAAATTCCACTGAATATTCTTGGACGAGTTAATGTAACACTCATGATTTGATTATGTTCAGGCACACCCATTACAATACTCTCCCGCCCGTGAAGGTGGGAATAAGAACAATGTAAGCCGAAAAACTCTTACGTGAATACAGAAAAATAATTCGTGCCAAAACAGTAAAAGATCTTCCCACACACGTAAATCAGCCAATTTAAACAGTGAATATTTATAAATCAACAAAACTTTTTGGTCAGTATATTTCTGTCCACAGTGTAGCTTCATAGTATAAGAATTATTATACATGTGAGTTAAAAAGTCTTCATATAATTCAGTGGGGACAGGCTGTGTTGTGACTTGTGAGAGCATTAAGGTCATGGCCACGAATGATTCTTACTCGACTACTCAGATGCTGGCAGAAGGCGCGGGGAAGAGACAATGTGGATAAAATTAGTCATATGAAGATATAATAACATTAATGTATATTTTAAGGTTTGTATAACGTACATTAATATTATAAGTTGCAATTACAAGTTAAATATATATTACCGTTAGACGACATACTAAGGTTCCAGCACTAGGCTATCAAATCCAGTACACCCATCAACATTTGACTTTTCTGTAATGTAAAATTCATGCAATAATCTGTTTAATCTAATACACGTTTATAACAACTTCTGTCAATAAAATAAACTTGTGTAACCCTGAAAAAGTGAACCAGTTGTAATAGACAGTGACTAATATCCTGTAAACCTTGACTTATATAAACCTTTTAGGGGAAGGAGTCACTGGCGCACCAACCATGTACTGTATGTATGTATGTATGTATGTATGTATTTATGTATGTATGTATGTTAAGAATTTACAGACCGATAACACTTATGTTTTTGGGTTTTTTATTAATAAGACACCTAATTTCAGTGTTCCCGGAGCTTTTTTTATTTAAGCGGGGTGCGATTACCTGAAAATTAATCCTCTTGGTTAGGTTAGGTTAGCGTTAGGGTGGTTAATCTTTAGGTGAAATAATCTGGGGCTAAACTTCAGGTGATCCAAAGAATCTTATCAAAAGCTCAAAGCTGACACGATACTGTCTACTGATACCTATGTGTGAGTAACCTGTGTGTGTGTGTTTACAAGCCAGCCTGAAAGTCAGTGTCATATCCGCTTTCAACCACTGAACCTACTGTACAAAAAATAAGGTGTTGAAGAGATAATAATAAATAATAATAATAATAATAATAATAATAATAATAATAGTTGTCCCTCGTGTAAAGAGGATGGCCGGACCAAGGGCCACCTAAGAGTGAATTTGTTTAGAGTGTAGAAGCTGTGGCCAACACAACAACCAGTGTCAAGGAATAGTCCGAGAAGACCAGACATCTCGCCAACTGCACTTGCTAACCATTACCCCGGAACACGATCCACAAATCGATTAACATCCAGGTTCCCAATTACTGCTGGGTAGACAGAGGCAAATGGCGTAAAGAAACTTGCCCATAGTTTCACCCTGCCCGGGGAGAAGGACTGGACAACCAACAGTAGGTACCCCAAACTCCCCTTGGCAGCCACAACTCAGCACTCACCACTTCTCATCACAAGAATCATCAGAGTCCTGGTGTAGCTCTTCGTTACCATCAGCCGTGTTACAGCAGGGTGTCAGCTAGCGGGCAGGTGTACACAACGAAAGACAAAAGTCATTGATTGTACATTTCAAACCACTATGAATGCAGGTACTGTCAGAGGATTTGCCTGATAGTACAGTAGCTCAAGGACGACTCCAGGGGCTGGTGAACCTGCCATCCACTGAATAACAAGACCCCCTTCATTTGTTGTCCATTCACGTCCTGTAGTTGGATCAGGAATACTGGGCGACGACTCAAGGCGGTCACTAAGTTTGCTCGAAGTGTATGTGCTGCAGTGGAGTATCTGATTCAATATCCCTTCCTCTGGCACGAAGCATCTGGTACCACAGCTCATTAACAGACTACTTTTGTGTTGGTGCAGAATGTTGAACACTACTGTGGGGAGTGTCCAGGTAGTACCAAGAGATGAAAATCTAACTCCTACACATTCTTACCAATTTGAATAATACATCAACAGGCCAAAAGTATATAATCCTAAATTTACTCTAAAAAATACAAAATTATAATTAAAACAGCATAACCATTGTGAATATTAAAGATAAATTTTCTAGTGTGTAAGAATCTCTATGTTGGACTCGTTACACATTTTAGTGATATTCTGTAACTGTATACCATGTTCCACTAAAACCCTCTTCGACCTGTTCAAGTTCTTACGATGTCGGACACGCACACGCACGCACACACACGCACGCACACATACGCACACACACACACACACACACACACACACACACACACGGACTCTCCTCTATTTACGTCTCCATCTGGCAGGGTAAGACTATTTTCTGATGAGGATACATTTATTTTCATAATTAACTCAGTGAAGAAGTTAAGTGGCCGGATATGGGGGCCGGAGAGGTAAAGTTAACCGCTTCTCCTCACGTTAACTGGTCCCCTGTTGTCATGCACAGAGACAACAGGTATTGTTTCTAATAATATTTACCTCTCGTTGGCCATGTTTGTTTCGACATACTCTCAACACTCACTGGCTTATGAATTAACCAATCAGATGCAATCGTTCAGCCAATGGATACCTGTTGCCTAAATATATACAGTACTATATAGATGAAACAACAGGGGCCCAGTTCCCCCCCCCCCACACACACCCTCAGGCCAGCAATGACACACACACTCTGAGGCGTGAGCCGTGATACCCTCAAGGACTGATATAATAGATAAGTCCTCAAGGTTAAACCAAATTATCAACGTCCTGTTACGAAAAAAATAAGGGAAAATCGGAGTAAATGCAATTGCAG